TAGGTCAATCTACGGTCCGTAGATTGGAGTCGTAGGTCAAGTCTGCCCGATAGGGCTTCACTAAAACGAGCATAAGTCTTTACTCGGAGGTCGGATTTTAGAAAACTCAGTGGCGTTGGAAAGAGGATTCAATTATGTATCATATCATAGGTCATGGGACACATAATTCCTTTTGTGCTAAGAGTTATGACCATTTGAAGTTGACCCAATCAACAATTTTCCTCTAACTGGCTGCTAACCCTCACCTACGGTCAGACCTATGGACCGTGGATCAAACGACAGTCCGTGATGGTCGGTCATCATTTGCATTAGAGGCTGGGTAAAGGGGGCCTCGATCCACGAACATAAACCATGGACCGTGGTCTGACCTACAGACCGTGGGTCGAGACTTAACCGATTTTCTGAGTTGGGTTTGGGGAGGGGTTGCAGTGGTGAACCACGGACCACCAACACGGGCCGTGGATGGCAACCGTGGGTTGCGCCTGCAACTTCTCAAAATCTGCATTTTTGGTCTGTTTCAGATACGGGGTGTTACAAATAGACTCTTGCACCTACTATAAATTACCCTGGCGTTCCTCTCAACGTTGCTCATGCATTCAGACTTATTCAACAAAAACATCTTCTTTTTTTGTTCTTTAATTATTTTCTTTTGCAATGAAAAAGAGGACCAATAGAGGTAAGCAAAATATTGAAATGGAGTTGGTTGAATCAAAACAAGTGTGCGCTGCTACTTTCTCGCAAATGAAAAACACCTTGTTGTTGAAGTGTAAAAGATAGAGACAATGGTCCAATTTCCTTGTTGTATTATTCCAAGAATAACAATTATTTATAGGTTTACAAGTAAATATATCTAAGCAAATAAAATCAGAAAAATCCCTAAATATCTCTACATATGATAGGGCAATGTATGATATATGTAGACTTGTCGGTGTACATTCTGCAATACTCCCCCTCTAGTTGGAGCATAGATATTAATCATGCCCAACTTGTTACAAAGATATTCCACCCGATTTCTACTTAAAGCCTTCGTAAATGTCACCCAATTTCTCCCCAGTCTTCACATATCTAGTGAAATACATGTTCTCTTAAATCTTCTCATGGATAAAGTGACAGTCAACTTCAATATGTTTTGTTTGTTCATGGTACACTGGATTTGAGGCAATGTGTTGATCAACCTGATTATCACACCAAAATTTTACTGGAGAAAAAGGTTTCAAACCAATCTCAGTTAAAAGGTGATGTATCCATAGTATTTCACATGTGGATTGAGACATAGCTCTATATTCAGATTCTGCACTAGATCGAGATACAACATTTTGTTTCTTACTCCTGCAAGATACCAAATTTCCACCAACAAATATACAGTAGCTAGTAGTAGATCTTTTATCAATTTTTGATCCAGCCCAATCAGCATCTACAAAACATTCAACACGAGTATTCCCTTAATCACTATATAATATGCCAAGGCCAAGAGCTCCTTTCAAATAACACAAGATTTGTTACAAGGTTGCCTAGAGTTTGACTGTTGGTACAAACATGAATTGACTGACAACACAGACCGCATAGCCAATATCTGGATGGGTCACAATGAGTTAGTTCAGTTTCCCAACTAACAGTCTGTATCTTTCTGGATCATCAGATGGATCTGCACCATCCTTAGTAAGATGTACATTAGAATCCATTGGTGTGACACATGGCTTAACTCCCAACTTTCCAGTTTCTGCAATTAATTAAGTCAAGTACATATTTTCTTTGGGACAAGAAAATCCTTTTCTTACTTCTTGCTACTTCTACACCCAAGAAGTATTTCAGGTTCCCCAAGTCTTTGGTATGAAACTTGGCGTGAAAAAACTTCTTCAAACAAGAAATTCATGTACAATCATCTCTTATATATAATAACAATATCATCAACATAGACAACTAAAAGAATAATACCAGTAGTTGATTGTCTGTAGAAGACTAAATGATCACACTCGGCACTTGCTCTTTTTCAATACAAAGTCTTGAATTACATCGCTAAATTTTCCAAACCAAGCACAAGGGCTCTGACCATATAAAGATTTCCTCAAATGAAAAATTTCTATGTACTCCCCCTGAGCAACAACTCCAGGTGGTTGCTCCATATATATACCTCTTCATGGAGATTACCATGAATGAATGCATTCTTGATATCCAACTAATGTAAAGGCCAATGTTGAAAAACAACCTATGAAATAAACAAGGGGACAAAGGTGAGCTTGGCTACCAGAGAGAAAGTGTTAGAATAATCCACCCCATAAGTCTGAGCATAGTCTTTAGCCACAAGTCTGGCTTTGAGTCTCGCAACAGAACCATTTGGATTAATTTTGATCCTAGTGCAAGCATTAGTGACTTCTTCCATGGTTCAAACCAGTGACATATAGATCACACATACTTTATGTTGTTTCAAGGCTCTCTTCCCAATACAACAATATATATGTAAATCTAGTAATAGATTCACATAATATGACAATATTGAATTAACGTGAAAATACTCATGATAGATGGACTTATAGTACAAAAACATTAAATAATGTGATAATACACATGCCAAATAGACTCATAATATGAAACCATTAAATAATGTGACAATACACATAATGAATAGACTCATAATATGAAAACATTAAATAATGTGACAAAACAAGTGACAAATAAACTCTTGCGCCTACTATAAATTACCCTTGTGTTCCTCTCAAAGTTGTTCAGGCATTCATGCTTATTCAATCAAAACATCATCTTATTTTCTTTAGTAATGGAAAAGAGGACCAACAGGGGTAAGCAAAAGATTGAAATGAAGTTGACTGATTCAGAAGAAGTGTGCGTTGCTACTTTCCCACAAAGGAAAAATACCTTGTTGTTCAAGAAAGTGGATGAGCTTTCAACTCTGTCCGGAGCAAATGTTTGTGCTGCTCTCTTCACCAAGTGGAAAACCATATTCCTGGCTTCACAAATATAGAAAAAATAACTGTTAAATTTTTTGAATTGAAATCACACGATAGTCAACGCGATCATGCTGATGTGGGCAAATGAAATGTTTGTGTGTCATTTGATGATCATCTGTCTCTTTCTGATGGTAAATCAAGCCCCAAATGGCTTACAAAATGAGTAGACTACTTAAATGTCAATTCTATTCTAAGAATCTTTATTTATATGTGAAGCTGATAATATTTTGAAAGGAATCCAAGAGAAAATGGTGGTACTTTCTGATGATCTAGTTGTGAAGCTACCTGTGTAAGAGAGTTCATATTTGACTTTCTGCATTTTCTTGTCTCTGTTGCTTCCTTCTTGTGATGAGAGTTAGACTTTGACTTTGTTTGGTACATGCACAAAGGAACATGCTTTATGATAATCCTCACTCGAGTATCCTTGAGATCTTATATTATTAAAAGAAAAAAGAGATCCTTCTTGTTATAATTGTATCTCATAAACTTTCTAGTGTTGGTTTTCATTTAACTCAGATCAGGCCTCTAAAAAAGCATGACGTTTCTGATGGGGAGGTATTGAAGATTTCGACATGTTAATACTTTGATCTTTTACATGTGAGGTAATGTTTTCCTATTTTATTGTTGTATGGATGCATCTCTGCATGATTGCAAATTTCTCTTGGAATCTACTGATGAAGTGTTTGCTCTTGTTCCCTGTTATGGAGTTGAGTCTTTTTCCAACTGCTGCTATTAATTGTATTTTAAATTTGACTAGACAGGATGATAAAAGCTATAATTAATTTCTTAAAAGAACCTTCTATATATGTTAATACTAACAAAAGATGGGATGAAACCGGGTTTGTTTCTTAATTGTTTCCTTTGACGATGAAGATGGTTTATGTTATTTCCACACAAAGATCTAAGATATGAGTCATATGACTACTGCTGTTAGTTTAGCTTATGCTGTGAAAAACTACAGACTAAAACGAGCAAGCTGAGAGCTCCCCTCGAGAATGTGTTGGCCGAACTAGCATAAATGGCTTAAGAAGAGCATTCTATGGTAATGCCATCATTTTAGTTTTGATCTTATATCGTGCACCAGAAGATGAGTTTATTGAGGCAATTTACGTACAACCGTCATTTATGCTAAATGCAGGTATTTGTCTAGTGGGTTATGCATTGTCTCTAAAGGCCATGCCCAACAGTTGAGCAGCCAGCAACTCATGTTGCCTAATTTGAACTCATATTTCTTTTTCCTATCAAGTTATTATCTAGGATTTTCAGAAACAGTTGAGCAGCCAGCAACTTCGATTATATATGCAGAAAAATGGAAACAAAGACTTGAATGAATGTAGTGTTCTTGTGTTAATGCAAAAGCTTTCAGTCATATGATTGAAAGAGTTTAGACCCTATATTGTTGCAAAATCAGTTTCTTCTTAGTTAATACATCTCTGTCCAATTTAGAAATCACATTCCTCTGAGAATCTTATATTTTTCGATGCAGTTCTGTTCTTCATCTTCCCTTCTTGACATTTAACTCGACATGCTTTGGTAACACACCTAAATCAGTAGCAATTATGAAATATCGTACGTCTAACACTATACGGAGTCCATCAAGTTAAAGATTCAACCCTGATCATTAAGGGGTAATCTTATACCATTGAGTTTGTGAGCGAAAGGGGGTCCTTAATTAGGTCATGTTAGGTTTCCAGGCATTTTCTGTGAGTATATCAACTTATTTCTCACAAGAAGCTCCTTTCTAGGAGAGGAGCATATAATTAAAAGATTTTCCAGAACATAAAAACTACTAAACTATTACGGCTTTGTGAAATTTCACGAAACCCCACGAACTACAATATTCTCATATTAAAAGAACACTAATGAAAACACAAGTACAAAAGGGGATTGCTGGGAACTTCAAGAACCATCATACTCCATAGCGCAAATATTCCAATTTCATAATCAAATACAGGTATTACAATTATATGAAAGAGTAATACTAAACAAAAGACTTAAAGAATGTTGATTTTGGTCCTACATTCTTGGACCTTTTCACTAAGCTCGATGAGAAATAAATTTGAACATTAAACTTGAAGATCTAGGATCCCAATAAAGCCCAATTTCATCACCAATGCCCAATCTGCGACCGTTGAACAATTCAATGCACGAAAGAGAAAAGTCATCAGTGTACAATTTCCTTAAGAAAACACTTCCACCTTCATACTTCTTAGGGACATTCTCCTCAGTAACATCCCACACATTAACACACACCCTACCCCCGTTCTCCAAAATTTTGGCCATGTCCAAAGTCCAATATTGAAGAATGTACTCAAACATCTGGATAAATGGAATCATCAGCATTCCTACAAAAATCTCATCATTGGTAATCTGTTTCTTGATCTGCCAATCAATTTTTGGGGCAGGGTATAAGTCCCTTATCTCCACCAATTCTCGAGTGGCTACCAGTGGAGTGTTGTTAACTTTGGAAGCTTCTTCTTCACCTTTTGATGGAATGAAATCGTAAAAGAAGGTCTTCTTCAGGGTAAGAAAAGGCTTTTGATCAGAAATGGAAGAAAATGTGTATTGATACAATTCCCAAGAAAATAACACACCGAAAAAAGAGAAGAGAAAATTATTATTTATTATATACAAATTCCAACTTTGAGCGGGAACAGAGAAAATTGTTACTTATTTATTTTCCTATTTTGAAGCTAACAGAGAAAATTATTATTTATTTATTTTCCTATTTTGAACCTATCCTGAACATAAGCTATCAACACCTGCAGGGCTTTAGAAATAAATGAGCTTACTCAGGTTAGGCTAAAAAAACAGTCTGATTCAAAGATTTTAGTCCAATCTTATCAAATCACGAGATGTACTGAGTTGACCCATATTGAGGGCTCTAAGAAAAAACAACGAGAGCTTTTTTGTGAGGTTTATAATACCTTAGTCGCAGTCATTCTCTTTTTATGCAAAAGTGCAACCGTAAAAAGATGGTGGTAAGAGTTCGGCTTGCATTGTGATGTGTTGAGGGTTCTACGCACGTCATATGTTTGAGCCCGCCTGCAGACAAACTTTTTTATTATATACCGAGCTTCGAACAGTGTGCAATTGGCCGACTAAACCTTTTCACATTGACAGAAAAAATAGAAAATCATGGATCTAACCTGGTTAGCTAATATGAGAAATATGTTTTTGTAACCTTGCAAGCAGAGATGGCTGCGCAACACCAGTGGTTTGTTTATTGAGGGGCAGATGCAACATTACATTACCGAGGTCATCTAAACTCAATACTTTCAATGTTGAGCGCAAATTTGAATGTAAAAATTTACTTAAATTACTTCAAATACTCAGTAGATGTGAACTCATGAGTTTAAATTCTGAATCCAACTTTGTATTTGTGTCCCAACTGTGGCCTGTGGTGAGTGGTTGGTGAGATGCTGGAATAATAGCAAATATTTATTAAAAGCTCAGAGACGTACACCAGATAATTTGAAATACTACTCCGCCAATGTTTCATATTTCATGAATTGGATTTCACTTATTGTTTGGATGGTTGTTACGCATTGTTTTGTTATCTACCGTATTGTATTGTATCGTACCATATCGCATTGCACGGTCGCGTAGTGTAGTTTAAGCCGGTTCTTCAAGCTGTTTCTTTTATTCCATTGTGGTTATTTCTGTTCAATTCCATTTTTTCTCTTGTTTGGCGACTCATTGTATTGCAGCTGTAGTCTTCAGTTGCAACAGAACATGAAACTAGCTACTAATTATCTATTAACAGATGCTTATTTTACATACTAACAACAATAGAAAGTAATTTGAACATTAAACTTAAAGATCTAGGATCCCAATAAAGTCCAATTTCATAATCAACGCCTAATCCGCGATCGTTGAACAATTCGATGCACGAAAGAGAAAAGTCATCATTGTACAGTTTCTTTAAGCAAACACTTCCATCTTCATACTTCTTAGGAATATTCTCTTCAGTTACATCCCACACGTCAACAGACACACCGTACCCGTTCTCCAAACTTTTGGCCATGTCCAACGTCTAGAAGAATGTACTCAAAGTCTCAACAAATGGAATCACCCGTTTTCGTACAACGGGCCTCGTCATGGGTAATCTTTAACTTGATCTGCCATGGGTTTTCCAGATCGATTTTTGGGAGAGGGTATATATCCCTTGTCTCAATTAGTTCTTGAGTCACTACAAGTGGAGTGTTGTTAAGTTTGCAAGTTTCGTCTTCAGCTTTTGATGGAAAGAAATTGTAAAAGAAGGTCTTCTTAAGGCTAAGCAAAGGCTTTAGATCATACATTGAAGAAGCTGTTTGAACATACAATTCCCAAAAAATTATTACACAGAAAAAGAGAGAGGGAAACACGGAAAGTTATTATTTTTGGTGTGAAATTGATGGTCCTAATAACATTCAATTTTATTTTTTTACTATTCTCTTTATTTTAATTTGTTTGTATTTTGACTTTGTACCTAATTTTAGAAGTTAAAGAAAAAATTTAAATCTCGTGGTCTTATTTGGCATTTGACCGAAAATTTTGTATCAGATTTCAAAATTTTGTATTCAACTCTTATTTAACCATAAATTCGATTTTGAAAAAAATAGGAAGTAGACAAACACAAATAATTTTCTCGTCTTTCTCTTTTCTGTTTGCTTTGTTTCTCTACAATGACTTGTTCATCTTCTTCCGGCACAAAAATTGAGATTCACCCATCTTACAAGGCAGATTTTCTTCAATACCCAAAGGGTCCAAACGCCACCGTCTAATATTGAAAGATAGTTCCCCTGAGGGGAAAGAAAAAGGCCCTCCAAGCAGCAGTTACGATGCACTTGGAGTGAAAGCTTGTGACTCTTGTGTTGAAGGAGTATTCTTCAATTACCGCAAATCATGAAACTTGTATTATGTGGGAACAGATTTATTTGACAATAAGTGCAAGGGTTCAAATAGTCGATTTAGTGAATTTAGAAATCACATTCCTCTATTCAAACGTGCCCCAATACTGCACTCTATTCAGGATTATTAGTTAAGAAGTTGCTGATTTTTTGCTTAATTACAATCTGCAGATTCAAAGAGAAACCGGGAATCTGGAATTCATTAAATGCTTCTGTCAGAAACGGCAACTTAGGCTGTGACTCAAACTTGTAGGAGGCATAAGAAAGAGCCCGTTTGCTCCAGTTATGATGAATAAGTTCAACTTTGGCATTTTCACCTGCTGCACCCATTTCTACGAGCCACGATCAATGACCATTCATTACGATTAGCATCTCCATTCGGATGAATGTTTTTTCCTGTTCTATCAACAATGAAGAATGCTAGAGAAGAATCGACAATGATATCAACAAATTCAAGTAAAATAGCAGAAGAGGTTCTATCAAAAGAATGTGCTTGGACCTTTCAAGAACAATACTAGAAGATGTTTTGGAAAAACTGTGATCAAACAGCTCGAGTTATTGCAAGACATTCAAGATTGTATAACCATGCATTGAAGCACAACATCTTTAATATGGAGCCAACGGACAGATGAATTGAAACTCATCTCTTAATAACCGACATCCAAAGTGTTGGATATTTCATTTTGATACTCTAGCTAAGCCTTCTTTCAATTCAATATCTCAACTCCTAATAAAGTATTCAAATTAGACACTTTCCATTTAAATTTTACAAATTTATTTGTGTCACGCCCTGAGCCGAGACCCTGGACGTGGCACACACCCAACACTATTGCTAGTACGAGCGAACGTTCTGGTATATCATATGAGCATGAAACTATAATAATTGAACAAAGTGGAAAACAATATCAAGTGAAACGCGATCCCTTAAAGGATGGAAGTTTTCATCACAATACATTAAGACTACAGAAATGTATTAAACTGAAAGTTATAAACTCATATTCTGGAAAACAAAATCAATTGTTTGACATCTGACATAATCTGTGAAGCCTCTACTAAATGATAGAAATCTGCCGGGACAATGCCCTGGTACACCCTTAATACTGAAATAAACATAAAAAAAACTAATACATCTAACTTGTCCCTAGTGGAAAGGAGGCTCACCAATAGTATACGAGAGGGATCCTAGTGATGTGCCTGGTCACGGATGATCAATACATGAAATGTATTGGTATGAAAAACCACAAAAGGGGATGTTAGGATCGAGAACTTGGGTAGTGCGGAATTTAGCCAAACAATGTTGTAATGACAATAACAAAGACAATAGTAAGTTGATAATAACGAAAGTAAAGCAATAAAAGAAGACACAAATTTAACGTGGTTCGGTTAATAGACCTACGTCCACAAGCGGAGAGGAGCAATATCACTATATCAACAAGAGTACAAAAGAGAGTATAGAATTAGAGTTAATACTCTAATTAATCCCAAATACCCAAAGAGAATAACCTCACAAGATCACTCCAACAAAGGGTTCACACAAGTGTTTCCCAACACAAACTCTCTTACAAAATTACTCTTAATGGAAAGACAAAGAAAGAAAACAATGAAATATTTTCATATGCTTCAAGGTGTGTTTCAACTAATGTCTAAGCTCCCTATTTATAAAGAAAAAAATAGGCTTGTTGATGTCATGGATGAAGTCTTTGGAAGATGCAAAATATTCAACATCTCAATGTGAATATATCAAATATGGTGGCTTCCAAATCTTTGACAAATATAGTTGCCAAATCTTTGACAAATATGGCTACCAAATTTCCACATTTGTGGCTTCCAAATCTTTCACAAAAGAAAGATAAAATAACTTTCTTTCATCAAACAAAAGGCCACATTACAGGGGAACTAGTAAAGCAATAAAATACAATAGCACAAGCTAAAGTAGTATTTTTCAACGTAAAGTGAGTTAAACTTTTTAGTTATTTATGGGAGCAAGTGGTGAATCGACATATATCACCATGTGAGTGCATGGAGTCTGATCTCTCGGCCAGATCAACTAAGCCATCCTATACCTTGCCGGACATAGGACATGACATGATCATTTTCTAACAAGGATCCATAATTATCTCTTTTCTGGACACATGAAGAAAAAAGAGTTATCCGACTTGCGGAAAGATCTCTATGCTACGTCGGCAAATGCATTCTTGGGCACCAATCATTTAGATTTATGCCTTCTCGGTCAACCAGCTAACTCCCTTAAGCTCATACTGTAAAATAACTATTTTACGGATCATTTACTCAATATTTTTAGCCTTAGTGGTTCATGTTCATGCTTTAGCCTTATTAGGCTCATGTCAAAGGTTTGCCACTTTAGGGCTCATATAAAAGATTTGACCATGTAACACTCATAATCCATGATCTACTATAGTTGATCAACATTTTTGGAGAATCAAAATAGTAGAATCTTGATACACTACTTCAATATCTCATGTCCCAGCTACATTTACTTTTTTTTTCTGCAAATTTACCACTAGACAGTGTCTAGTGGCCTTTTATTAAACATAAAAATATCAATAGAAATAAGTGCAAGCAAGGGGGGCTAGGCCTTACCTTACTAATCCTAATGAAGTACCTACCGTCTACTACCTAACAAGCATGAAGAAATAAGAGCTAGAGAGAACTAAGTATTTTCTGATCACCACAGAGTTTATAATACACTCCATGATGATATTAATTAATGCTTAAATAATGTAAAAATATGTCAATCAAGAAGAAAGTTGAGTTATTAGCCTCTAACTTTCTATTACAAATGCATGAATTAAGAAAGATTGATTGCCCATCAAAAGTAACTTGAAGTATTTTTCTCATGTCTTCTTCTTCAAACCTATCCAACAACACTTGATAATTTATACTTTCTTTATGGATTTATTGGATCTTGTTGAACCTATTGATACTGTCAAATGATTCTGCTTTGCCTGTCGCATCAGTATGTACCTGGGAACAAACTCCTCAGTCATTTTACCGTCTCAACTATGTTGTCTTCCATGTGTCTTCTTTTTGCTTTTGTTGCTTCGACTTCTTTGTTGCCTAGGTGATATATCTCCTTCCCTAGCCACTCTATCAAATCATATGTCCAGCATATCTTCCTCATCTTCATCAAGAGAATCCTCGCCCAAATCAAGCATATTGTCTTCCTCATCTTCATCAAGAGAATCCTCACCCAAATCAATTGTATTTGACACTAAGGCCCTTGACTCATTCTTCTTTGCAATCACACATTTAAGCACAAATACGGGAGCTTCTGGACTTCATTTGCTATTCAAAGTAGGTGGTGAGACCTGCTTTTCTTGGATCAAATTGTTGTCATTCTCTGTTAGCTTTACTTGCTTTCCAGTAGTCTTCGATAAAGCATCAAAACTATTCGAACATAATAGGTTTCTTGAGGCATTACCAATATCTTGCCTCTTCTCACTGTCATGAAAATTTCCAGTCGCACCCTTTCCACTACATGTAGAATTATTTTGACTAGTCAGGGAAAGGCTCCGATTACTAGTTGAATTTTTGAGTGCAACCAATGTCCTTTTTAGTTGCATTCTTGGTTTCAACTTGCAAAACATACTGCCCAGAATTTTTAGCATCTTCAACATCAGATGTATCCATTAGTTTGTGTCCTGAATCCATTATTTTTTTTCATGAACCAACTCGCGGCGCATCAACCCCAACTCTTGGTGCTCCCCCTTTGTCTTTGGTAGTTGTTTGAACACCAATGTTACTTGTAACAACATCAAGTGAGTGTGCACGGTTTTGCTCAGAAGTGACAACAACCAATTGTCGATCTAAAGAAGTAGTTTTACTTTGATCGACATCTACAATCTTTCTTTTTTCATTTAGTATTTCTCTCGCATCACCTTGATACCTTTCACTATCGATAGTACCTTTTGAAGCAACTTCAATGGTATCATCAATTTGTTTGTTATTTTGATTTCTTTTCGAGATCAAACGACAACTATCTTCATCATGACCTTGGCGCTTACAATAATTGCAATACAAGGTAGATTATCATATACAATCTCTTGAAAAACCTCGATCAACTTACTAGATTTTCCATCCACAAACTGCAATCTTATACAATTTGAAAGCTTTT